TGACTTGTCCTTGATTTTCTCTGTGCACAAACACATTGGCACATCTCAAATATATATATAACAAATATATTCACTACAGTATATGGTGTACATGATGTGTTTACAATGCCTTGAATGAAAGGTCCTGCTCAATGCATATGAGCACACTCAAGATTGGTCTGACTGGGATGCATAACACTTACCATTGCATTGATAGTGGCAATGGCGGCAGCAACCATAGGGTGCAAAGGTGCCAGTGTCAGTGGTCGTGGCAGCTGTCAAATGTGGGACACCAGCATTGGTGGTTTCAGCATTAACTGCACAGATAACCATGGAGATGGTAAAGAGGCAACAGTAGGGCACGGCCAATGATAGTTCTTAGGAGTGACTAGGGAGTAGCACACCAGAATGAGTGCATACACTCTGAGGACAGGGCAAGTGACTTACCTCTTTGTACTCTGAGGGTGTGCAGTGGCTTGACTACTATGTCACTGCTGAATGTATGTATAGATGGTAGCCAGACATCTTTGGTGTACAATCTTCTATACATGACTTGCAGAGCCAGCTCTCTCACATCAGTTCCTGTCATGCTATTTGAGCAGCTTGTGCAGAATTAAACCTGCACTGACCTTGCCCACAAGATGACAGTACCCGGTGTCATAAAGAAAAGGTTAGGATAAGAAAAGTAAGTAAAATAAAATGAGGTTTGGTATAAAGAAGATTCTAGGAGAAATCCTAGAAGGTTACTTTTTGATAAAAGAGAATGGAGTTTGGTCTGTTCTAAACTAAAAGCAAGAAAGGTATAGTATGGAATACTTAGATTTGGTTTTCCCAATCTTTTCTTTCCAGGGTTCACTGGGTTAGCCTTTCAACCAAGCTATCCTGGTGTTCGTGGGGGACTAATTCAAAGACCACCTACTGATCTGCTTGAGTACTCTAAAGCCTCACTTGCCTGTATACAAGGGACTTTTAAGGAATCTTAGAAGATGGGCTGTAAGAAGGTTTGGTTAGTAGCTTAAGGACTAGCTACTTGGGTTAGTAGAATAAGGTTTTTAGTTAAGAAAGATAAGAAGGTAACAAAGACAAGCTAATGTCTTGGTTTAACTTAGTAAGCTTTGGCTAGTCAGGACGATTCAATGTCCTTGGAGGATTTGTATAACTTGAAGCAATCTGAAGCTTCTAATTTAGAGTTGAAGATCAAGAATAGATTCAATCTCTTTACTGCCAGTCTAATTACTGTAAGCTCTACAGAAGACGTACCACAGTCTCAAATAATGATGCCACTAGCTCTCGCAGTCTAGGGTTAGTCAAATAGTGAACTCATGCACTATACCAAGGGCATTTCCCTTTAGGTTATTTGAAAGTCAGAGGCTCTACTGTGCTTAAGGAATTTCCTAGGCTTTAAAGAAAGGAGTCTATTCTCTGAGAGCTAAAGAGCTCAGGGGATTAACTGCAGGTTTGCTGCTAGCTAAATCCTTGAGAGAGTGTGTGGTGCTTGGTGGATTTTTGGGTTCCTGTTCTTTGCTCTCAGAGAACCTCTCCTATTTATACCTTTCAGCCTGTTGTTCCTTAGCCAATAGCAAAACTGGCTCTTCTATTCTACTGTAATTACTAAGCTACTTCTACTTTTATCAATAAGCATTTGTCTGTATTAGTCAGCCTTCTGTCTGTTTTACTAATGTATTGGTAAGCTATTACTAATGTTTGTTAGAGTATTACTATATTTTGGTAATTCATAGCTGTTGAGCATAGACCTTTACTAAGCATAGTTTTTAGATTACTAAGAAGCTGAGTCATATTATTAGTCATTGATTCACTTTTAGTAAGCTTGAGTGTTTATGCTTACTTTGCAGCTCTGAGTAAGCAGTTTCTTTTTGATTGGAATACCTAGCTTATTCCTTTAGTTTTCCTATACTTGTAGTTATGGCGCATGACACCGGTGGTTATTGTTAACAATATCCACAGTGAGCCAGCATGCATGAGCATTCGCGACGACTCTGTCAATGGTGTCATGTCACATACGTTCAACATCAACTCACAGCTTACATTAGCCTCTAATAGGCATACTTGCCTGTGGTATCCCATTACGGTGATGGATTTTTGCAATCTTGATGGGGGCAACAAAAGAGAGGTGGGGGAAGAGGAGAGAAAGATAAAGGAGAAAGAGTGGGCAGCAGACGCATTGTTGAATCACAACTGTGGGAACATTCAAGATCTGCGTGAGAATGACGCCATCTTCGTTTAGGGCAGGATCTAGGTGCCTTCAATTATTCTGCAATCTCTTGAGCACAGTCCTTTCAAGTTCATCGTTCACCTGTCCTTGTGTACCATTTTCTCTGATATTCTAATTGAGAGTGATGCGGTCTTGCCCAGCAACAACTTTCCTTGTCGAGACAACAATACCGCCAATACTCATCATTAGTAAGGTGCTGTACCATGGCAACAGCACAAATATTGGTCTGCGGTGCTCAAATACTGTAGCACAGCTGATGGGGCAGCACCAGCAGCTGCCACCATGAGCCAGCAACATTTGATTGCAATCAAACAATATAATACAAGCCCAGACAACTTTTCATATACTGATTTTGCTTTATTGACTAGGGGATGTAATGTATATCTAAATATGTTCATTATACTTTATGCACAGGCTCTGTAAATAAGCATTCATTCAGTAATAAACATGTATGTTCTCTATAAGTAAAGAGGTCAACTAGTACGCAGATGTATGAACACTAGTGCTCAAAGTACGAGTAAGTACAAATGCTGCGTATTTTGTGTACATGTGCTTCATTTTGTACTTTTGGGTGTTTCCTGATGCACCCTGGATGGGCTGACGTTCACTGGCATGACTGAGCTCACATGGCTCATTGACAATTTCCCTACGCTACAGCAGTGCACATATGAACAACTCACCTTCCTTGACATGTCACCAGTTGTCCAGTCATGCAGAACTTAGCAACATGCTTCACCAGCCCTCTCTGAGTGCAGGATCTCACAGTGTAAGGATATGGTGGTTTACATCCAAGCAGTGCTGGCTGCTGACATCCTTGTGACTACATCTTGCATGAATTTTGACAGCCGCATATGGGACACAGCTCTTCATGCACTGCTTGTGTTGGTACCCAGCACATTCAAAAGTGCATGTGTGCAGCTCAATGGTCAGAACTGCAGCGTGTTTGGTACATCTCCTAACTAATGCAAGCAGTGCAAAGCATACTAGCTATTCCTCACCAGATAGTGCGACAGATTTTTGTGCTTCATTTGATAAAGAGCAGAGTGACTCCATGAGTGATTCTGTCTGTGCTGATGTTAAAGTTCCCTGACCAAGTGCAGGCCAGGATATGGGGTCTCCACTTGTGCATGTTGAGAGCATCATGCTGCAGCTCGCGTTTGCAGGCGTCGAAGCCATGAATAGCCTCGCATGGGACACCTTATGAGTTGTTGTTGATCCTTCGCACACATGTTGCCTGGGTATTGAAGTTGCCACTCTGCAAAACAAAGGTTTTGAGGTCATGAAGTGAGCTTTGCTGTCTGTACAGTTGTGACACAAGCAGCTATCCTGGGCTCTCAAATTGGGTAAACTACAGTTCAACCTCCAGCCCTACCTTGGTGCAATCCTCACAAGTGAAAACATTTTGTCTATACCAACAGAGCACACCATCAAGGGCACCACAATCACTCTCAGCATTGCTGAACAAGCTGAGTGGCTACTGTCCTTGGTCAGTCCATACTTGGGTCACACTACAAGAGAGAAGTACTTGCAACAACTTGTAGCTGCGTGCGCAGGCAGATGATCCATGGACATGGACTCAAGGCCATCCAAGATAGCCCTCATGATATAGCAATCAAGCAAATCTGGGAAGTAGTGAAGGTTGATGAGTGGGGAGGTGAACAGAATGATGGAACAGGCAACAGAAGAGACAAAGAGGGTGTAGAGGAGAAGACATATAGAGGCAAAGGTCTAGGACAGGCACAAGTATTGCAAACAGAGCTGGAAATGCACCATGCAGGTAACCTAGCATGCTGTGTACGCTTGGCAGGTTGAAGAGGTTAAGATGCGGCATGATGAAGAGAAGCTGGGATTTAGGAGTGGGCGTAGACTCAGCGCAACAGTGTACACGAGAGATGTTGGAACATATGGGCTCAGGTGAGGGGTGTGAGTGGAGGATGTCATCGACTGACCGTTGCAACCGCGCAGCGACACTTTCTTCATTTGGGATTCCCAGTTTGTTTTATCTTGTTTGATGACCTTACGTTTGCCTCGCCTGAGTGCGATGCAGTGGACCCTGAAGCCGCCGAGGCATGCCAGGTCGGCAAAGGGAACGAATGGCACAGTGGATTTGGAAAGAACAAAGGAGCTAAACTGAGAACACAGGACGTGCGGTCGGTAGCGTGTCACTCAGCCGGAGGCAAATATCATTGCGCATCAGGGAAATGGGCTGGATTGATTGACGCCGAGAGCGGAGCCGGCGCATCAAGCTTTTTCTGCACTTTATCTCCGCCTCTCATTTAGTCTCTCGCTCCGAAGCTCGCCACAGCATCGGAGGATTACCTCGAGCTGCTTGTAAACATGCGGGCGCTCTTTTCCCCCAGTGGCACAGCGCATCTTAGCGGTCCCTCTGATGCAGGGCAGTGCACTTCAGCTGTAACCGCCCATGCTCCGCGCGGACGTCCTGTGTTGCCGTCAGCTCGCAATATGACGGTGACGGGTCTGAAACATCTTGCACAATCCGAGCGATGTTCATCGCCCGCCTCGGCTCCGCCGAGGGACCAGCGCGACTCTCGGATATCCTGAACGACAATGCTGGAGAAGCTTTACAACACACGAAGACACGTATGTAGTTGTTTTATAGCGCAAGGTTAAAGCATAGTCACAGATATTTGCGCACCCCATGCTACTCCGCAATCATAATTTAGTCAAAGGCATCATCCATCATTCACTTTCAAGTTGTACAGCCTGACCTTCGTGGCGCTTCGGTAAGCGCGGTAAATTCCGTGTTGTCTCAGTCTGCTCTGCTCTGACTTCTCTCCTCGCAGGCTACGCTCAGCAGTGACAAGCTCTGTCACTTATTCATTGATGTAGTTGTGCTCTGAGTTGCAAGCTCAAGCTTCAGCATTAAGGGGCATCACAATGAGATGCAAGCATCACCTGCATACGCGTGATGGTGCCTCTGTCTCCCAGCGCATCTCACCGGGTCGGCATCGAGAGAACAAAGTTCTCCTCCGAGGAGTCTACTCCTGTGAACGCTCCATCTCGCCTCTTTCCTCCTGAGGAGCATGCGGATCCTGTTGCTGGCAGTGCGCCTAGCGCGCGGTATGTGATGGTGGCTCGAGCCGGTGGGCGTACATGGTGCATTTATTGCGGGTGCATCAACTGTCGGAGCCAAAGCCCACTGCGACTCATATACCCTCTCTGCGCATTGGTGTGCGAGCCCCTGTGCGACTGCCCTTTTCACCCTTCTTTTATCCCTCTTTTCTTTTCTCTTCTCTCCCCTACCTTACCCTTTTCTCCGCACGTCTACCCGTGAGGGTCCTGGACACTTACTGTTTTAATTCCATGTCTACCCCTGCTAGTGCCGCACCCAGCGTATGCTCACTCCCGCTCCCGAGCGGAGTGAAGCAGTCTAACTCGACGCTAGTCGACCCGCACGGTGCGCAAGCCACGGAAAAGAGTGACACGAAGCGAGGGTTCCGTTTCTGGATGGTTATTCTAGCAATCTGTTCTTCTTTGTTTCTTAGTGCACTGGAATTGGTGAGCGCCATACCCTGCCTTCCTTGAGAATTTGAGAGCTGATTCTTTCGTGCAGACGGGAGTCTCGACAGCCCTGCCCACGATCGTTCACGATCTTAATGGAAATGACTTTGTCTGGGTATCTTCCGCGTACTCGCTCGCGGCGACTGCTCTGCTTCCCATGTCTGGCGGCTTGGCACAGGTGAATTCCTAGCGCTACTCGTATCCGATTCGGACTTTGCTAACCATCGCCTTACACCGCCAGATCTTTGGGCGCCGCATTACTATGCTTCTCTCCATCGCGCTCTTTGCGCTGGGCAGCGCTCTGTGCGGCGCCGCACAAAACATGAATTGGCTGATTGCCGCGCGGTGTGCGTATTCCTTTCTTGCGGTGCATTGATTTCCGGCTGACGGACAGTTTCAGCCGTGCAGGGTGCTGGTGGCGGTGGTCTGCTCTCGCTCTCAAGCATCATCATCTCGGACCTCGTACCGCTCAAGGAGCGTGCGATTTACAATTCGCTGATCGGAGTGTATGTCTGCCATGCTCTGGCTTGCGCTGCGTCATTAATTGGGCTTTTCTGAAGGACTTGGGCCTTCGCCGCTGCTCTGGGACCACTTGTAGGCGGCGGCCTCGCTGAGCATGGGCAGTGGCGTTGGCTGTTTTGTGAGCCACTTTCATTTTGCCACCAATGACTCCACGGCTGACGCCTGTGCCCAGACCTCAATCTACCCGTTTCGGGAGTTGCAGCACTTCTCGTCATTGTGTTTCTCAACCTGCGCGCACCCCCTGGTTCCTGGACAGAAAAGCTCGGTCGGATGGACTGGATGCAGGTGTCTCTCACGCTGATGCTCTGGACTGATGTTAACCATCACTTGCAGTGGCAATGTCCTGATTATCTCGAGCTCGAGCTCAGTCGTCCTCGGCCTGACATGGGGTGGAGTTCGCTATGCCTGGTCCTCTGCAAGGGTCATTGTCCCGCTGGTGGTTGGCTTGGTTGGAATGACTATATTCGTCTTGTATGAGGCGAAGGCCACTAAAAACCCCATCATTCCTATGTCCTTGTTATCCAACAGGACCTCGCTAAGCGGGTATGCCCACCATGACTACCGTATGACCTGACATACTGACTTCCGCCTCAGATATATTCAAACGTTCATTTGCCCCGTTGTCATCTTGGCTGCTATCTGTCAGTGGCATTGGCATACACTGCATTTGGTCCTTTGCTGATGGCTGTTCCCGGCGTAGATTTTGTCCCGACGTACCTTCAGGCATGCAAGAGCGCATCTCCTATCCGGTCCGGCGTCTTAGAGCTTCCCTACGCGTTTGGGATGGGCGTGATCCTCGTCGTCACTGGCACCACTATCGCCGTCAGCAAGGTCTATCGGGTGCAGCTCTGGGTCGGCTGGGTCGCATTTATGGTCGCCATGGGTCTGATGTCCACAGTCCATGCTGAAACTTCGACGGCGCACATCGTCGGCTATACGGTTATTTTGGGGTTCGCGGCGGGTATCGTTTACTCGGCGACCTACTTCCCGGTGCTTGCTCCTCTGCCCGTGTCCGAGAACGCGCATGCGCTCGCACTTTTTTCCTTCTTCAGGTCCTTTGCTGGAGTATGTAGCCCTCTTTCTGTGCCGCGAATATTACTAAATCTGATCAAATTACCTAGGTATGGGGCGTAACTATCGGCACCGCTGTCCTCCAAACGCAGCTCAGCCACCGCTTGCCCGCCCAATTCATCGAAGAGTTCCCCGGCGGCGTCTCGATCGCGTACTCTGCCATCCCCGTCATTCCCACTTTGGCTGAACCGCTCCGCACCCAGGTTATGAGCGCCTTCGCCGACAGCCTCGCTGTTGTCTGGCAAGTGATGATTGGCATCGCCGGAATTGGCCTAGTTTCTTCCATATTTATGAAAGGTCTGCCGTTGCATACCGAAGTCGACGAGAACTGGGGCATAGAGGAGAAGAAGCGCGGCGGGATCACGGTGAAGGTTGAGCTCCCCGCCCGGCAGCCCGCGTAACGGTCATTCTCTCCTCCGTAACGTCGACACGTCATTATCGGCGACACGCTTTATTTATTTCTGTACGACGACGTCAACAGAACGAGACGAAGGACTTGTCGAATTAGCAGCTATAATCATCTAATATCAATGGACTATATGCACTTCAATGATGAGCTTATGAGCGGCTAGTCCGGTGTAACTTAATAAGTTCGCGTGTCTGTGCCGCTGAACTGAAACTCCTGGAAGTACTTCGAAGGAAACCAAGTGCTGTCGATCATCTTCCTTTATGCTTCGGCCGTACGGTCCAAGTGTCTCGCCGACGAGATAATACACGCCTTCAGTAGATATTGTTTTGTCCTTTTGCTTTTCAAGTCGCCGTCAGTGGTGGACACCTGTAGCGTACAAGCAACACTCACCGATTGACAGGTGTGATTTATACCGCATTACTTCTTTCACGCAGCGGCCGAATGAGCTAGTCTCAGCTAGAGGTGCAGACGAGCCGAGGAGCTTGACCTGAATGGGCTTAGTCAAGAAAGTGTCTTCTAAGTTCTTTTCGGACGTTGTTACGCCCCTAGTTTTCTGAGTACATACACCGGTACTGTGCATCACACTAGCAGCGCAATTCCCACATAGTTAAGACTAATACTGACAATCATGTGCGAAATCACGGCGGCATCAGCCCCAGCTGATGTGCTATCTATCTACCTCTCGAGTCTCTTCATCCGAAAGGCACACGACTAGCTCCCATCGATCGGACAGCAGCGGGTCTGACGAAGGAAATATACTTCCCTGCTTGACTACCTCGAGCGCAGCGGAACCATCAACCTGTCGCCTCCCAACCACCTCTACAACGAGCCATAAGTCCGAGCTGAACTTCAATACGGTGTATTCCGTGTCTCGCGAGAGTGTACCGCCGATCTTACATTGTAGAGTCTGCCGGTAGGAGGGCTTGTCGCCCGCGTCTTGCCCTTCGAGTTCGACGGTCTCAGAGCCGCGCGCGCCTTTATTGCCCTCGCGGACTACACGAACGGGACCGTATGACGGGGCCTGAAAGAGGTAAGTTCCCGGCTGAGGTGTGGGAAGGCGCGAGGTGTCCAGAAGGAACAGTCCGGGAGCATTCGAACCCGTGAAGCGAGCAGGACCCTCCGTCCCGCGGTGCATGAACTGATGCCACGAAGGGAACAGCGAAGTGTCGTCCGGGTGGTGCTTCATGTGGTGCATGGAGATCCGTAATCGCGAAACTGAGTCCACATGCTTGAGAAGCACGCTCCACGCGAGCTCGGGCGTCATCCCTTCGTCGTACACCGGGAGTGTGTCGCAGTCTAGCATGTACGCAAGACCGTGGATCCTGTCGAGCTCCGCGGTGCAGTGACGTCCCTGCATGGTCCGAAGCGCAAAGGCCAGGCGGTCTTCCTCGCCCGTACGTACGAGAGGAAGCGACCGCGGAAGAAGCTCTCGGAAGAAGTATAGCACGTTTGCGGACATTGCGCCAGTAAGTCCGCCAGGCAGCCAGTTCTCTGTGGCCTCTTGGACCGTCCAGACACGATTTACCCAGTGTCGGTCGGAGGAGAACGTTGCAGGGGAAGGGTCGAAGGGAAGGCCGAGGCCGTTGAAATATGTGATACATGGCAGGTTCCCTGCGTATATGTAGCCGAGGGTAGGGACGTCGAGCTTCCACTCCTTCTTCCTCCGCTCCTCGTCTTCTGGACGTCCCCGTTGCCTCAGACACAGAACGTCCATCCAAGCGTACTCCGCCCCGAGATTAAGGAGCTCGACTCGGACGTGATCGACATTTGTATCGTTGGGAACAGGAACAGGCCACTCGTTGCCATTAACCGGGGTCCAGACACCAGTGCGCGCGCTTTCGTGCACCCAGCTGTGCGACACGGTCCAGACTTTGGCGAGGAATCCGTGTCCATGCCAGGCGAGCGTGGAGAGCGGCAGAACACGGTTGCTGTAGAGGTCCCATACTCGTCGGGGGAGCATCCGCGGGCTTCCGACGTAGCCGTCGCGCAGAGCGTCCTGTCGCGACGCTTCATCTCTCTCTTGCTCCTCGATGAGGCTGGGGAGCTTTCCAGTGAAGTCGGGTAGCCAGTGGCCTCGCAGGGAGCCGTATAATTGGCCAAAGTCCCGTGAGGTGCGGTGAAAATGTTCGAGGCACTCCTGTAGTCCCGGCTTCCCCAGCGAGTAGCTGGTTCCGAGAACATCGTTAAGTAAATCCAGCAGGTCGTTGATACCCAGAGAAGTACAGGGAGTGTCTGCGAGTGCGTTGGATATGGCGCCGGGGCCGAAGTGCGCCCATTGTAGAGGAACGCAAGACTGTGGATCCGGAACGAGAGAAAACTTCTTGCCCAAGCCAGAGGACGTAAAGAGGGATTCCTCAGAAACGACTCTTGACTTTGCTACTCCGATTGCTCCCCACGTCATCAGACGTCCTTGGTCGCAGGCCGCCTCGTCAGACACGCCAGAGGCCCGCAAGCAAGACACTGATCGGTCGTTGACATGTGGGGGAAGGGTTATGGTGTCGCGATGAGGATGGTCGGTGCGCCACGGAGGTTCTTCAACTCTGATCGATACCTCTCCAAGTACGAACTCTATCTGCTTCCGCGACTCATGCTGGATCAAAACCAGTGTATCAGAGTATTACTCGGGTGCACATGGCTGCTTTTCACTCACTGGACCATCCTCGCGCTGCCTGGCAATGCTCCCTGAGTTCAGCAAATCTCCGCTACCAGACATCATCATATTCGGCCTTGCCCCTGCAGAGAACGGTGCACCGCCTTCAGCGTACAGTGACAATTATCAAGCAAGTTTCTAGACTTACAGATCGCGTGGGCACAATCCAGTCCAGATGGAGCAGGATCGTTAGCGGTGCTGCAGCTTGTTACAGCTGATGGTGATGATGACGGTTTGAAGCAAGCTGAAGAGGCCGTAGCGAGAGCCATAGGTGACATTGACACTTGACGGGCGGTGGGAACAATTGTCCGATGCGTGGAAAGGAAGCGCTAGCTGCTATCGGCGCGCACTTGCACACTGCTGGAATTCGAATGCTTCGTGGAATGGTACAAAAGCGAGTCCTGCGACGTAGGGGTCGGACATGATACGAGTTTCAGATAAAATTCAGAGAGGCGGAGCGTCGTCTCAATGCCGTCGGCTTAAGGATTTACTCTGATTTTGGATCTGCTTAGCATATCTGCGCCTTGAGAAGATAGCAAGGTACGGAGAAGGATTGATTGAGAGCCACCGTACACCACATATCACAATGAACCAGCCCTGGACCTTAGCAAGTCTCTTCTACATCGCGTTCTAAGCTTGTTCCATAATCTCGCTCATACGACGCAGCGTGCTCTAGGCGAGCGCAACACTATCTCTGCCGACAAATGCTTCGCGATTACCTCTAGAAGACGTTATAAACGGGCGATGTCTGCACACATGAGCAGTACTCACCAAAACCAAGGGGACCGAGCCCTCACGCAAGCACCCCTTGCCCAACTCACTGTCCCTACACCTCCTTCCGCTGGACGCTTGAGTAATGCGCAAGACGTTCGACGTTCGCTTCAAGCGATGCATTTCACTGCACGAGTGACGCAAAGCCTGTGGCGTCCGACGACATGGGTGCGCCCTGTACGGATAGATGGCCGCCGCAGCTCTACGCACAACCATGCATGCACACGATGGCCGGTGCGCTGAGGCATGTTGCCGGTGGATGATGTGTGCATGTCATATCGGGCAGCAGAATGCGAAGAACCTGACGAGGACGCTTTGTGAATCGTGGTCGGCCGTCGAGAGAGGGCTCGCTGTTGGTGCTCTTAAGCTTAGCTTGCCTGGGTGTGGCAGAAACTGGCTATTTCAAAGGCAATATTGACGATTTATTCCAGCGAGCAAGCTGTACTGAAGCCAACAGAGCTATTCAGAATTTCCGAGCTATGTGCAGTCGATCTAGTAGACGGTGGGTGAACAGATGTGAGAGCGTTGCCACTTGCTCGGGAGAGAACGGCATTATGGGTCGGACGTGATCGGATCAACGAAGCCTAACGTGTTCGGGCCGAGTCTTCTAACTCTCCTTGATGAGCGAGGGGGTTTTGCAAGCCTGAGGAGCACTTTGGTGGTAAGTCCTCCAGGTTGTGTGCGCGCCCCTCGGCCCCCTGTTTAGCTGCATCTTCCTCTTGCACCTCGATACAATGAACAGTTTATAGAGTGCTAAGTTACTACTCACCAACACATGAAATACTTCAGTGCTATGTTTATCATCCGTGATGACTAAATACCAGACTGGCGGACAGATACCACGGAGCTATTGTACGGATATTGTCTGAAAGGTCTGTGTAGTTTGCTAAATACCTATTTCTTCCTCCTGGCTTCCTCTGAAATATACACGACGTACCACCGTTCATACCATCGGAGGTATGGGAGTCGGTCGGATGAAGAAAGTATACACCCTCGCTTAACCACCTCCAGCGCAGTCCCTTTCTCAATCTGTCGCTCTCCGATCACCTCCACAACAAGCCAGACCATCTCAGAGAGTCGCAAGATGACATAAGTTGTGCCTTGTAAAAGTGTACCGCCGATCTTGCAATCTCGGATCTCATAGCACTCGAGGTCGTCGCTTGCGCCTGCAGTTTGGAGCTTGAGTGTCTCATGGCCGAACTCGTCTTCCTTCCCCTCACAGTAGATACCAACGGGGCCGTACAGATCAGTGGTCGTATGGTAGTAGGTTTCTGGCTCATCCGTGTGAAGGTGCGAGTCGCGCAGAAGGCGCAGGTCCGACGAAGGGGGCACAAAATCCGAGGCACGAATAGTATCTTGCTGCTCGCGCTGCATGAAGTCCCACCACGAGGGCAGTAATGAGGTGCTGGCCGGATGACACCTTGCGTGGCGCAAGGCGACATGGAATCGTGTGTGCGGGCTCATGTGCTTGAGAAGCGCAGCCCAGGCGAGGTCCGGCGACATTCTTTCATCGTAAATCGGTAATGTCTTGCAGTTCAGGATGTATGCGAGGCCGTGAACCCTATCGAGCTCTGTGGTACAGTGACGCCCTTGAATCACCGTGGCCGCAAAGGTCACGTAGTCGGATTTCCACTCATGACTAGCACTGTACGGGATGGATTTCGGGAGGTATTCTCGGAAGAAACGCCGCGTGTCTGCAGACGCCTCCCCGGTGGCCCCACCAGGCAACCAATAGTCAGTGGCCTCTTGTACCGTCCAGGCGCGGTTAAACCAGTGGCGATCGGAAGACAGGATTCGTGGAGACGGGTCAAAAGGAAGGCCCAGGCCGTTGAAATACGTAACGCACGGCCTGTCCAGGGAGTATACATGGCCAATGGTGGGGACATCGAGCTTCCACTCTTCCTTCCTCTGTTCCTCGTCCTCCGGACGTCCTCTTTGTCTCAGACACAGCACGTCCAGCCAGACATACTCTGCGCCGAGGTTGAGGAGCTCGACTCGAACGTGGTCGAGAGTCGTGTCGTTGGGGAGGAGGACAGGCCACTCGTAGCCATTGATCGGGGTCCAGACCTCAGCGCAGGCGCTTTTGTGGACCCAGCTGTGCGACACCGTCCAAACCTCGAAGCGCTCGGAAGGAGACGAATAGTAAACTCGAGCATAGAAGGGCAGAACGCGATTACTGTAGAGGTCCCACACTCGCCGTGGGGGCACCTGCGAGTTGCTGATGTAGTCGCCATTCACGGCGTTTCGCCGGGTCGCTTCGTCCTCTGTTCGCTCTTCAGCAAGGTCAGAGAGGAGCCGTGTAAAGCACCATCTCCATTTCCAGCAGCTTCGCAGAGAGCCGTACACTTGGCCGAAGTCTTGCGAGGTGCGGAGGAAGTGATCGAGACACTGCTCTAGCCCCGGCTTGTCTAGTGAGTAGCCGGTCCCGAAGACATCGTTGAGTAGATTCAGCAGCTCTGTGGTGTTTACAGTAGTGCAAGGTATGTCTGCGAGGGTGTTCGGTATGGCCCCAGGACCGAAGTGGGCCCGCTGAAGGGAGACGAGGGAGCGTGGTTCTGGTACAAGCGAGAATACTCTGCCCTGCCCATCAGATGTGAAGAGACGGTCGAGAGGGACTCCCGACTCCGACATCTTGATCCTCCCCCACACTTCGCGGCGCACTTCACCAACGCAGCGCGAATAAGCACTCGGATAGGCGCGCAGATTTATGTAGCGAGCATTCGTAGAATTCACAAATGGAGAAACGACAAGGGCATCGAGGCCAGGCGTCCGACTCGTGTACCATGGGGCTTCTTCGACACGGACAGCTGTCCTTCCCAGTCTGAATCTCGTCATTGAACGCTAAATATACTGGCGTCTTAATATATATTCCTGCGCATATGTTATTTGTCTCTGGCTCACCGACTCAGATTGACCGCTACACGTAGATTCCTTGGAGTTGCTCCCCTCCTCACTAACTGAATCTGCATTCTTCCTCGCTGTCGCACGTGCAGATAGACCCGCAGAGTTGATCTGACTCTGTCCTACACACAACGGCTCAGTAATAATAATAATAAAACAGGAAATAATAAGTCTCAATCCTAGCGACTTACTGACACCCATCTGGTCTCTGCAAACCGTTCTGAATCAAGCTGAGGTTTTTTTTTGTGTCGCGGCGTATGCAAGCGAAGCAAGCAGCGTAGTGTAACAAGTGCAGTCAAGTCGCAAGATGGGTACCGTGAGACAGATCAGTAGTAGGAATGGATCGTCTAGTCCCGATATAGGCATCTGCTGCGGACGTGCATGTCGAGAGTGCCGGTTTTCATTATTGCTGGTCTCTTCAAAAAAGGCCTATAGATGGTACCAGTTACACTGCGATCTACACAGCTGCACGGATGAGACTGTGGTGACAGTATCTGGGGGATATTGAACATCACGCGGGCGCGATTTCGGTCATTCGAGAATCTGATCGTTGAGCGTTGGTTTTTGTCTGACCATGTCATACAAGTCTCAAGATACTCCGCACCCAAGAATCTGACCATATTATCTACACCCAAGAATCGTGAGTCCGCCCGTCAGAAATCCTGCGCCCAAGACTTGTGCAAATGAGTTTTTGTGCTCGCAGCACTGGACTGTGGGGAACTAGGCATGTCACTTCAGAGGTTCTTCACCACGACGCGAGCACATGTGTACGCGAGCTTGACAGCCGTGTCGATTTCAACCTACGTCCATGCCCGCCAGTATCCTGAGTGTATCAAACGCGTCTTTATGTCGAAACCGCGCAAATCCACCCTTGCCTCCTTCATCGCCCCCCGAGTATGATCGGCCCACCAATCGTGTTTCGGTTCTGCCTCTACGCAACACCTTTGGCACATCATACACCTTGTTGAGCTTGCCGAATGCATCATGCCCATGTCAACCGCTCCGCCCGCATATACCGGCCGGCCTTGCTGAACTGCCCGGGGCTGATCAGGCTGCGGCTGACGACCCACTAGAGATGAACCTTCTAGGGTCTATTCATGACTTCAGCTACCTAGCAATCCGCTCGACCAGGTATTTGACAACTAAGCTGGGCTGACTGGGGCAGCCAAGCCCACATTCTTCTGAGTGATCACTACCCGCGCAAGCAGAGATGCTCCTTGCACCCCCGGCGCCCTCAGATAGCTCTAGTACCAAAGCAGAACCTGATTTGGAGATGCAGTGGTCTCCTTGAGGATGACCACGACACTGGCAGCATACCGGTCTTGTGGGGGCAAAGGTACCAGTGAGCTTGATGATGGACCTAGTGATGTGCGGGCCCGGCTTGGGCTCAAAGCCCGGGCTTGGGCTTGTGGCGACGTCGAGCCGAGCCCTGAGCCCGAGCCGAGCCTGAGCCCGGCCCAAGCCGTGGGCTTAAGCCTGGGCTTGCCAAGCTTAGGAAAAGTATTTGTACGCTACGAGAGTGAGCTTATTTATATTTAATAGGTTACTATTGCATGTATCCACTGTACTGCAGCCTCCAGAGGGCATGTGATCGCGCTACAAGCCATGTTATGGCAAGGTTCGCGAAGGGGCGCCTACGGCGAACGCCAGGCGGCGGCGCACAATCGCGCCCAGTCACACACCAGCAGGGACTGCCCAGTCTGGTAAGTCAACGTTTGTCTCATATGTGTATATAAAGTCGTTCTTACCATATTTTAAGCCCAGGGAACAGCAATACATTTGGTGCACCCAAAAGCCTGGGCTTTCGGGCCGGGCTCAGGCTTGACTTTACCTCAAGCCCGGCCTTGAGCTCGCTGCCAGGCCCGGCTTGGGTCAGGCTTTTTTGGGCCGGGCTTGACGGACTTGCGGGCTTTGAGCCGAGCCCGCACATCACTAGATGGACCGTTCTCCATCCCGCAGCCTGCTGCTCCAGCATCCGCCATGGCTCAATATCCTGCAGCCTAGGTTATACATATGTTCTATTGTAGTCTCCCGTCATTCAATGTGCACTTTTATGTATCGAACACGAACGAACGTGAGCTCTGAGGCTCTGTGGGCGCCATTCTGTTGCGGGGAGATCTCGGATCGGGGCGGATTTCGCATTGCACAAAATCATGATTTCGGTCGTACGAATCTCAGACGAAAACCAAGCCTCAAAGATCACAATAGTCCGGATCCCAAAATTTGCCAGATCTGTCAGAACTGGGCGATTACGTCATTGCCCTGTACGGACTAATGGGGATATTATCACATGATCTCTCTATTATCTTGTAGTAATACAATATCTGATTACTCATGCTTAGTATACATGCTTACACTCACAGTACCATAGGTCTTATAGCGGTATCAGAGGTCCTGACTCACATGTATATATACTGGCCCTGTAGCACAGAATAAAGCAAGAGTTCAGTCGCACTTTAACAGGTTATGAGGTCCGGCCTCACGGCCACTTTACCCCCACTCAACTAGTCTCATTGCTGAAGAAGACCCCTTGGGAAACCTCGGTCCCCTTCACCCAGTTTAAACAAAGTTTATCCACGCAGTTTACGAGTAAGTCTCGTTGCGTGCTAGTGGCAGACGGAGTGCTCACGTGTTCATTCCTGTGTAATTTCTAGTGCCAAAGGATTTACCCGCTCGTCCCCCTCACTCCGTTTTCCAGCAGTACAAGCACTCCACTGGCTACGCGCCCGCCTCCGGCAACGTTAACGACCCCGTCGAGACCGTCCCGTACGGTAAACGCCGTGGCAAGGAACTACGCCCGCCGACTCCAGTGCTCACTCTCTCGTTCCCTCCGAACTCACACAATGGTAGGCGCCTACGTCGCGAACAGTTCCGCGAGCGCTACGCGACCGACAAGGCCAACTTTGAGCAGCGTCTAGCTACACGCGAAATCCAACAGGCACGCGAACGGATCCTCGCTGGTCCATCAAAGCCAACACTCGAGCAGCGTCTCGCTGCCATCCCACCGGCGACACATACGCCGATTGCCCCGAAGCCGATACTCATCGACTTCGACAAGCACACTTCCGCCAACCTCGTCCGCATCTTCACACCGAAGTTCGACGGCACGCTCAAACGCCTCGACGTCTTCGAGACTTTCGAGCTCGACGACCTCAACTCCAACCAAGTTCACAATCTCCGCCGACTCATCGAACAGCTCATGCGCATCAAGCACTGGCTAGCGGATGTCTGTAACGTCGTCAAATACGAGGAGTGGCGCAAGTGGGAATTAGGGTGCAGAGAAATAGAGGATATCTCGTTCAAAGGGCTACGCAAGAACAAAGCCCAGATTGTACAAGCGCTCAGCGCAGTTTACGTGAACGGATATTTTGACACGGTTAGGTTTTACGAGAACAAGTAGATATTTTGTATACAACGCTATTGTAACAATCAGAAACAAGTTCTACTCAGAAACCTGACAACTGTGTGTTTATCCTAAGCGACAACAAGAGTCGTAGTTTAACTGGTCCCTTCGTCCAACCCCAACTCTATCCACCTCTCGGCTAAATCGGCTTAGCTGGGATAAGTGGTTCGCTCAACAGCATTCACAACCATATCCTCTCAGGAGACAAATACGGTACCTGAAACCGTAGAGACAAAACAGGAATCTGTCGCGGAATTCAGACAGCGACTGAATATCATAAACGACGTAGAAACTCCGTAAGAATCATTAACAACACACGAACAATACGTCGAGTTGTTATTAACCCCGCATTACTTCAATTACGTCCAACAACCTCCGACATATAATGCGTCAGCAGAGTTAAAAAACCACGACGATGATATAATACATATCTTCTTTCCCACATCCTCCGATACATATTCAGAATCATACGCCTGTTACCTAGAACAGGAAGACATTGCGGAAGATCTATACTATAGACCAATCCATCAGCTATACGATCTTGCATTCTTGGAAGAAGATTGGGAATCACTTTGAGTGACACGAGCCGAATCATACGAGTTCGATCTCAGTGACTTCTTTTACGACGTTGGATTAACACCAAAGGAACATGAAACACTCTATGCATATACTCACCTCCTCTTTGTACACGATAACAATGTCATCCTCTTCTGACCCTACCAAGCTCGCCACATCTACCATCCCGCAATTTGACGGTACCAACTATAAAAAGTGGTCCGACGCGATCTGAGCCTTCCTGTGTTACCAGGGCGTCTGGTATCTAATCCAGGGATACAGCTCCACAGTGACCGTACCAGTCCCTGGTCTTGCCAGACCAATAGCTGCAACAGGCACACCCATGGCTACGGAAATTGCAGCTCAAGCTGCATGGGATGAGAAAAACGACAAGGCGCTGGGAATCATCCAGCTCTACGTCGCACAGAACCTTCGTCATCTCGTCAATGACAAGTTCTTGGCCCTGGACGCATGAACCACAATCAAGGCTGGCTACGAGAAACCCAGAGCGGTAGGCGCATTCGTTGCCTTCCAGAAGCTGTTCAATGCACAGCTCTCTGACAGCTCCGCGCTGGGCTCACAACTCGACGCGCTCACAGAGCAGTCCAACCAGGTCAACGCGGCAGGGATAGAGGTCAAACCTCAGCTTCTTGCTCTGCTGATGATCAATGCTCTCCCCAAGTCATACCAGACCATCGCTGGTACCATTCTCACTACGCAGACTGATGTTACGCTGCTCACAGCAGCGCTCATCAAGCCCAAAATCGTCGAGGAGGAACAGCGCCGCATTGCGAACTGCACTCAGATTGCGTGTGTCTCGAAGGCGCCCCTCCTGGACAAGGAATGTGAGAAGTGTGGTTGCAAGAATCACACAACGGAGCAGCACTGGGACACAAAGCCGGTGAATTCTGGCTCGAGTTCCGGTAATGGCAACAACACGCGGCAGCAGCAGCAGGGTGGCGAAAAGTGCAAAAAGGGAAAAGGAAAGGGCAAAGCGAAGGACAATACCGCGACGACCACTCAGATAGTAAATACTATTAGACTTGTCGATGTACCACTAGTAGCAAAGATCGAGAAAGAATCTATCTCTGTTTCTCTTTATGCTACGGATGTCAAGTCTAAGTGGATGGTCAACAGCGGTTGTACAACACATGTCACACCGTACAAAACTGACTTCATTCGGTATCATGAATTCCCTAAGCCAGGTCATGCACACACAGCCGGCAAAGGTCAGACTATCGAAATCAAAGGTCATGGTGAAATCGCTCTGCAACATTGTCTTACAGATGGATGAGTTCAGCATATCCGGTTAGAAACCGTATTATACGTACCGGAAGCAGCAGAACGGTTCTTTGCACCCAGAATGCCACTCAATAATGGTCACCATATTGAGATGGATGGCAAGAAGTTTAAGTTACTCCGCGGGTCAGACCCAACACAGCGGACAGTTTTAATGGAGGGCGAATATGAAAAGTCGTCAGGTTTATATTGGCTAGAAGCTGAAGTCCTCACTAGGACCAGCGAGATTAAGCCAGGAACATTAATGTCGGTCAAATCCGATGATCCATACACATTGTAGCACCGTCGCTTCGGACACGCCAGAAAAAAGTCAGTTGTTCAACTGCCTGGCAATGTCAAAGGCGTCCCAGATAAAATCTCAGCTCCAACCAGGGATACTCCCTGTGATGGGTGCGAATTTGGGAAGTCTCGTCGCAATGCTTTTCCTGCGTCTGACAGTCGTGCAGATCATCCCCTCAACTTAATACACATGGATCTTGTCAAATATCTGTCGTTATCACTCGACAGGTACAAGTTTGCCCTAACTACCCTCGACAACTATTCCTCATTTGGTTTAGTCTGGTATCTGAAACAGGAGTCTGATGCCTTCTCTGCCTTCAAGCAATTCGTCGCTTGGGCAGAAACACAGGCCGAGCGCAAGCTCAAGGCTATACGTTCGGACTGTGGGGGGGAGTTTTTAGACCGTGAATTCGACAATTTCCTAGCAGAACGCGGAATAGAGCGCCAACTATCAGTGGCGCGGACACCACAACAGAACGGCAGAGCAGAACGCTGGAAACAGACCATTCAGATCAAGGCAGAAGCTATGCGACATCATGCTGGCATGACGTCTGGGTTCTGGAAGCTAGCATCGGAAACAGCAGTACACATATACAATCGACAACCTCTGCGCCGTCACCAATGGAAGCCACCCATCACTAAATGGAACGGCACTGTTCTGGACGTATCGTACTTTCGAGTATGGGGCTGCAAAGCCTACGTCCACACACATAAGGATGCGAGGGTCAATAAGCTACAGCCAAAGGCTAAAGTCATGATCTTCGTCAGGTACGAAATCGGTACAAAGGGTTACCGGTTCTGGGATCCAACTGCCTGGACCATCGTTGTGTCACGCAATGTCACCTTCGATGAGTCTTCCTTCCCCAAGCGAGACGAAAGGCCTCGTGAGCCTGGAGCGTCTCAAGATCCAATTCCACCTGTCCTACCCAACCTGCCGAACCCGGACCTAACCAATCCGGATGACTTCACACCTGATAATCAACCCCCAGACAACGCACATCCACAACCGCGGCAAGACAAACTGCAACAACAGGATGAAGACGAAGTCAATGACGATCCAGCAGATCGTTATGAACAATATCGAAGCCCAACTCCGGAACCATACGAGCATCTGGAGATACCATTTGTTCTCGGTCCACCTCCTGGACAACCTCCACCTCAGAGAGAACAATATTGTCCTCGTCAGAGCGGACAAGCCGGTCCATCTCGTCAGGCAGCACCACCTGCTCCTGATATTAGGCAACGATGGAATCTCAAACCACAACCTGTGCCACATCCGGCCAGACCACAGCGCGAGAATGCAGGCCAACGCCGTGTTCCTGAAAATAGCTATGGTGACGTCCCGCCCACTGAAGCATGGCGTCAACAGGAACGAGATATCCAATGTGATCAATGAGAAGAACGAGAAGCACGTGAACAATGTGAACAACGTGAAGGTTCTCCAATGGAAGTCGACGATCAACTCCGTCGGAATTTATTCCAATGGATATGTCATGCTCACCAGCCTGACCCCACTATGTACCGCAAGGCAATGTCTCGCCCAGATGCGAAACAGTGGGAAATCGCAATGAAGGAGGAACTCAAGTCTCAGGAGGAGAATTCCACATGGATTCTGGTCAACAGACCGAACAACCGGAGAATTGTAAAATGCAAATGGGTTTATGTGATCAAGCCCGACGGCTGTTATAAGGCACATCTCGTGGCCAAAGGATTCACTCAGATAGAGGGGACAGATTTTCAGGAAACCTTCTCTCCCGTCGCACGCTATGAAGCTATACGCTTCTTACTCGCACATGCCGCACTCGAAGATTGGGAAATTGAGACAATGGATATCAAAATGGCCTTCCTGTATGGCGAGCTCGACAAGAAGATTTACATGGAACAACCAGAAGGCTTTGTGAAGAAAGGACAAGAAAAGATAGTGTGTCAATTGAAGAAGACTATCTATGGCTTACGCCAAGCCTCACGCACCTGGAACAAGAAGCTACACACTACGCTACTCGAGAATGGATTCAAACGCACGCGCTCAGATGCTGGCGTTTATGTTTATCATCACGACAAAGTCAAAGTTTACCTCATAGTTTACATCGACGACCTTCTACCAATGGGTCCAAGTTTACCCGAGATCCAACGAGTCAAGAAAGTTCTTGCAGAGAAATTCCAAATGCGAGATCTTGGAGCCGCTAGTACATTCCTTGGAATGCGGATCACTCGTGATAGAAACAACAGGTGTCTGGAAATCGACCAACAGTCGTATACCGAAGGAATCCTATCTCGGTTCCAGATGCACAACTCAAAACCTTGCCGTACACCACTGCCTGAAGGCATACATCTCGAGAAGGCTACGGAAACATATACCGCTACCGACGCACTCCGTCATCACTATCAGTCTATGATTGGTAGTCTCATCTATTTGATGATTGGTTCACGACCCGATATCGCCTGGGAAGTCACACGACTCTCACAGTACATGCAAAACCCTACGTCACAGCACGTGGAAGCCGCAAAACACATCTTCCGGTATCTCCGTCATACCACTGAGTATCGTATTCAGTACTCTGGCTCAAATCAGTCAGGTTTGATAGGGTATTCAGACGCAGACTGGGGCGAAAATTGGGATAACCGGCGATCAACAACCGGTTTTGTTTTCCTAATGGCTGATGGAGCAGTCACATGGGCATCTCAGATGCAGAAGACGGTGGCAAGATCCTCGACAGAAGCTGAATATATGGCACTCTCGGAGGCATGCTCTGAGTTAGCCTGGCTAACGTCACTCCAAAAAGAGTTAGGTTACTTTCCTACTGCACCACCACCTCTAGTAGCAGACAACCAAGGAGGAATCTTTCTCGCAGTCAACCCCGCTCATGACCGAAGGCTCAAGCACGTCAACATTTGATATCACTTCATACACGAATACGTAGAAGAAAAATGAGTGGATATAGTCTATGTCAGTACGGACAAAATGATCGCCGACACATTGACGAAACCACTTGGTGCAACGAAATTTGAGCGCTTCCGGTCTATGCTAGGCTTGGTCTTCAGTAGATTAGGCAATAACTAGTCGAGTGGGAGTGTCAGAACTGGGCGATTACGTCATTGCCCTGTATGGACTAATGGGGATATTATCACATGATCCCTCTATTATCTTGTAGTAATACAATATCTGATTACTCATGCTTAGTATACATGCTTACGCTCACAGTACCATAGGTCTTATAGCGGTATCAGAGGTCCTGACTCACATGTATATATACTGGCCCTGTAGCACAGAATAAAGCAAAAGTTCAGTCGCACTTTAACAAGATCTTGAGCTCCACAGTCTCATCCGTGCAGCTGTGTACCTTACTGTACTTTTACGACCAAACCGGATGGCCTTGTGACTGTGACACGGGTGAATCGAACCGGATGACCGGACGGGCGCTCTGTAACGTGTGATATCCGGTTGTTAACCGGATGACCGGTGACGACGGCCGCAGCTTGAGCACAAAGTTCGTAACGCAGCACGATAATGGCTCTCACGATTGCGCGACCTTTGAAGCCTGTGGAACTATGCAGAGAGCTTAGACATAATATAAAAAATTAACAATAGTGATCGGATTTTTGTAGCGGAGTTCAACGTGCATCGTGGTGCGGTCGCGCTTCGCATATGTTGTTCACGCGTCCAGACCAGCCTCTCATACATGGTACACCCATGTTCGCACTAATTAAATACTGGTTAATTCCTTGAAGGTTCGAATCCTTTTCTTCTATGGTATCGGGGTGCCGCAGGCGGTCGCGCTTTGCACATGTTGCTCACGCGTCCAGGCTAGCCTCTCACACATGATACATCCACGTTCGCTTTAAGCTCTGCGGTATCGGTGTGCCGCAGGCCCCAAAAATGCGATTTTTGGGGTTGGTGGATCCCAGGTGTCACAACCGAATAGGCTCCCTTGTGACGTCTGGAAAGAGTTGAGGTGCTTGTAGCGTCGCAGCGTATGCAAGAGAGGCGAGTATGGTGGAGCATGATATTACGTATAGCTTGCGGGACAACATATGTCTGGTGAGCCAGCACTTGGCATGGCGATTTGAAGGATGGATGCCCGCGTGGAATATCAACCCCACCGTCAAGTCGACCGCAAGAAGGTTAGGATGAAGCCAGCCCAAGCAGTTCGAGCCGCGGTGCCTACGTCTTTATTGGTGCTCTCAGCCTGCCCGCTGTAATTATGTTCTATAGATTGGCACTACTAGTAGCCCTTGTAGCTATATCTATCAACCACGCTCCAGCTTGCTCGTCCGACAAGTGCACGACCAGCACATATCGGTCGGGAAGCAGCGAATCCGACGAAGGAAATATACATCCTCGTTTAACTACTACCAGCGCCGTGTACTCTGCTATCTGCTGCATCCCAATCACCTCCACAACGAGCCATAAGTCGACAGAAAGCTTCAAGGCTGCATACTCCACGTCTTGTAAAAATGTACCGTTGACCTTGGTGCATTTTTGAGTTTCGTAGTGGTCGCTTGCATCTTGGACCTGGATCTGGAGCGTCTCACAACCGTCCTCGCCTTCGTCCTCTTCCTCATCTCGAACTATGCGAACAGGACCGTACGACGGCGCGTTATAGCAGTAGGTCCCGGGCTCATGCGTATGAAGAAGTGATGTGTCCAGAAGAGACAGCGCGAGAACATTCAGATATAGTAAATGATCAGAACCCTCAGAGTCGTGTTGCATGAACTCCTTCCACGATGGCAACAACGAGATGTCGTCCGGGTGACGATGCACGTGACGCACAAACACCCGACTTTGCGATGCTTCGTCCATGTGCTTGAGAAGCACCGTCCATGCGAGCTCCGGCGACATCGCTTCCTCGTATATCGGCAGCGTCTTGCAATTCAGCATGTACGCAAGGCCGTGAATCCTGTTCAAGCTCGGTAGTGCAGTGACGCCCCTGAAGAGCCGAAACCGCAAAGGCTAAGCGGTCAGTCTCTCAATCGCGCTCGGCTGGGACAGATCGCGGAAGGTGCTCCCGGAAGAATACGAGGGCGTCTGCAGACGCTACACCGGTGAGCCCGCCGGGAAGCCATTTATCGGTGGCTTCTTGCACCGTCCAGACGCGGTTGAACCAGTGGCGGTCGGAAGAGAGTATTTTGAGGGATGGGTCGAAGAGGAGGCCGAGCCCGTTGAAGTACGTGATGCACGGCAAGCCAAGGGAATATATGTAGCCGATAGTATGAACGTCGAGTGTCCACTCCTCTTTCCTCCGCTTCTCATCTTCTGGACGTCCCCGCTGTCTCAGGCACAGAACGTCCAGCCAGGAATACTCGGCGCCGAGGTTGAGTAGCTCGACTCGGACGTGCTCGAGAGTTGTGTCGTTGGGGAGGGGGACAGGCCACTCGTTACCGTTTATCGGGGTCCAGACGTCGGTGCGTGCGCTCTCGTGTACCCAGCTGTGCGACACAGTCCAAACTTTGGTGATAGGTATTGATCTATCCGAGGACAGAGCGTAAAGTGGTAGGATACGGTTGCTGTAGAGGTCCCATACCCTTCAGGGCAGCGCCTGTGCGTTCCCAATGTAGCCGCTACACATAGCAATTTCCCGCTCCGCTTCGTCTTTCTTCTGCTCTTTGACGAGGCCAGAGAGCACGCCAGCGAATCCGGGCAATAGCCAGTGGCCACGAAGGGAGCCGTACACTTGGCCGAAGTCTCGTGAGGTGCGACGGAAGTGTTGGAGACACTCCTGCAGTCCCTGCTTTTTGAGCGAGTAGCTGGCCCCAAGAACATCGTTGAGTAGCTTCAGCAGGTCATTAATTCCCAGGGAAGCGCAGTCCCTGTCTGCAAGAATTGCTGGGATGACACTGAGGCCGACGTTAGCCCACTGCAGGGGAATGCGAGACCGAGGTTATGGGATGAGCGAGAATTTTTTTCCCGTGCCAGAAGACACGAAGAGAGACTCTTCAGGCACGATACCCAACTTTGCCACCCTGATCGCTCCCCAGACCATCAGATGTCCTAGGTCGCAAGCCATTTCGGTAGACATGTTGGAGGCTCGTAGGCAGATCACTGATCGCTTATTGACAAATAGAGGAAGAGTAGTGGAGTCATAATTGGGCGAATTGTGTTCCACGGAGGTTCTTCAACTTTGATAGATTTCTTTCCAAGTTTGAATACTATCCGCTTTCTCGATCTAGGCTGGATCTCAGGACCTGCATATACTCCATTGCTTCCGTCAACTCACTGAATCACCCTTGCTCGACATTGCTCTCAGAACCCGGTTCGTCTTCATTACCGGTCATTGCATTTGTTTTCGCTGCACATAGATCAATTCACCGTCCTTAGCATGTAGCAGCAGCTGGCAAGCAAATCCATGGACGTACATATTCACTCAGCCCAGATGCAGCATGGGTCGTGGCAGTGCTGTGTGCGGAAAGCAAGCACAGATGGCCGCCGTGAGGTGGCACCTACGAGCTAGACGTCGGAATAGTAATCGCCCAATGCATGGAAGAGAAGCATTGGCTGCTGTTGGCGCCGCGGCGTGTGACTATTATACACACTGCCGCTGGACTTTGAGCGCGCCGTGGCATAGACGCGAACATTTGTGTGTAATATCGGGCTGGGAGAGTTATGGCGGAAAAGTCTAGATAGAAGCTGTGTGCTAGCGGCTTGCGAACAAGATGGCTAACGCCTGATGAGAGCGAGATGCAGCGCGGGCGACATCCTATAGTCACGGTCGTAGTGACGACATTTTGAAGCAGAGCAGGGAAATTTCTAACGGCGCATGAACTGCGTTGAACGGATTGACGAGCACGTCCTTGTAATACCGTTGAAAGGTACGCGCGCCACATACCAAACAAATTGGACCGCAGACCTTAGAGCGCTAGCCGGTCTAGCGTAGACCGAAGCGAATATCATGCTCTACGTCATGCTGGCTTCCGACATGGCAAAACAGGTCGTTGAAGAGTAAGTGCGCTCGCAACAGAGTTGAGATTGTCAGATTACTCTCGACATTTCGAGCCGGAGAGCACAGAGAGCATTGAGCCGCCGGAGTTCGAGCTTGCCACAGACTGTCCGGTGTTTATCAGGAGATAGCTCGAAGAACGTCTTTGGAACTCACGCTTGTAGTCGTATCGTGTTCGATACACGATCGCCTTCAGAATCAGCCCCTACAGACAGGCTTCAATACAACTCTCAGCAGGCGTCGATTGATGTGCCGCGTCGTCTGCAGATCGAGCTGCACGTCGTATGATTCGCAGAAAACACATGAACGAACGCAGTGCTCAGGTCTCGTAGGCCGCCGTTTTCGACGACTCATGACATATGGTGTAGCATCACCTGTGCAGCCCACGCGGCATCTCGAGCTGTTCCAGTACCCTCAGAAGTCGAGCTCTGTAGCCTCTTTAATGAACCTTGAAGTATCGTGCGACACTGTTGTCCCTGGCCCGGGCAATTTCATTGATATTCGGCATAATGGACGATAGAGTAAAAACGCCAACGCCGACAGGCATGTTGTGCCTGAATACTTGCCCTGAAAGAGAAAACCTCAGCAAACTAGACTAACGATACGCGGGCTTCGACGCTACTTACCAGCGTCATGCCAGCCAACCATTCTCCCAGCTGTTTGGAGCCCGGCAGGGACATTATTGTGCCTCATACCGCCATTTGAGTGAACGGTAGGCCAATGAACTGTTCCAAGGCCGCTTCCAGGAATACGTCAAGCTGGGCCAGACCGTCACCTGCCCGAAACGACGTGGATGTCGGCTGAATCAAATGCAAACGAGCGCGACCTTATGGAAGGTCCGCGATGTCGATCTTCGCAAATCTGTTCCTCCGTGTCTCAACCGCCTAATCCAGAAATCTTACTCGTAAGATATCAGATGAAGCTTGCCTGCGGTAGACCGTTCTGTCTTCACTTGAGTATGCATCTCGAACCTTCTCTAGAAAGCACTATCAGAAGGACGCGGTTATAGCGTATGAGCAAAACTCACCGAGCCATGCTGACCTAGACATCGACATTGTCACACCGAGCATAGATCCTAGGGCCCTCGACAACTCCTGTGGCTCTAATAGCCCATAAAGATCTCCTCACGACCAGCTGCAAAAGCGCTGCATCACAGCCTAGAGCGCAGCCCGATGACGCAGAAAATCTTGAGCGGTGAGCTGTTGGGCTATTGCAGGAATGCATGCTGGTTCTGACACGCGTTCAAAGCAATGCGCTAGGACGCGGAGCGGCGCGAAAAAAAAATCTGGCGGACGGCGTGGTGCGGAGTGCTCGACAGGGATCCTTCGTAGTCGGCCCGCTGGGTGCTGGCCAGCTGTTAGCGTTCTTGAGCTTGTCTTGTTTGGACACAGCAGCTCACCTAGTTACGACCGAATTTAATGGCGTCCTCCGGCAAGCAAATCGAAGTGGGGCGTGTCGACATCGATGGTGACCCGTCGCTTGGAGTCCAGCTTTGCGCAGGCGATCTGGCAGGCAGCAGAGGGAGGGCAAGGCATACTGCGGGAGGAAGTACTGGCAGCACTGTATGGCATCCCCAGTGCTACGACCTATTCGAGAGGGCTGCGGTGATGAGAGAGGCAGGACGGCAGTTCGAGAACGAGTAGGGCAAGCGCGGGGAAAGCGCTGCGGAGACCTTCATGATCGGATCATCAAAATCATGACACATCACTTCCGCGCCGACGACAGCAACCAAATAAGCTCAGACGCCGCCAATACACTTGTGGTCTCGTCTGCAGCACCGCCCGGAGACCTATGCCCGTAACTCGATGCAATCAAGCAGGTGCGGCTCTTGCATGCTTGCATGAGTATAGTATTTACTTCGCAGTCACTATTAGTGTCTCACACTTACATGTAATCTCTGCGAGTACTAGTTCTCTGTCATGAATACTACATACTTCGAATGGTTCTTCTGAATTCTACAATATTCTTTCACTTTCTATACATCTCTGTATATTTGTAGTATATTCTAGGTATTGAGTCTGACATGTATATAAGGAGCTCGTACTGCTCAATAGCAAGCCAGACTCGAGCTGGTCTTTCCTCACTCACTTTCCTCTCGTCTGTCTGTCAGCAACCTACAATCCAACTGGACTGGGCTACAACGAAGCTGAGGAGACAGACAAGAGGAAAATAGGTGAGGAAAGACCAGCTTGAGTCTGGCTTGTTATTGAGCAGTACGAGCTCCTTATATACATGTCAGACTCAATACCTAGATTATACTACGAATATACAGAGGTGTATAGAAAGTGAAAGAATATTGTAGAATCCAGGAGAATCATCCGGAATATGTAATATTCATGACACTGTCTCCTCAGTTTTGTCGTAGCTCAGTCCAGTTGGATTGTTAGTTGCTGACATTCTCAGCTTAGCGGGAGTTCACGAATAACGATCATACACGGACACAAACCGCGCAAATGTTCATCGGTTAGAATAGGCATACTATAGCATGGAATATATACCGGTAAGTGAGACGTGCAGATTCACTGTCATTTGTCACTTTGATACGCTCACTTCGTGCATCTGATTCGCACAATGCCTACGTTCTGACCAGCTGGTTCCCGGCACGATGATCTCACAGAGAAATTATATTTTCATCATTCGTTCGAGCGCAAAGTGTGTTGGTAAAAAAAATTAGACAGGCTCTTCAACCAGCACGGAGATTTTCGCTGTCGTCTTTCCTCTTCGCCCACCTGCATTCACCGCGCTCGCATCCTTCCAAGTGCGTGCGTCAGCGCAATTCGGTAGGAGAACCGTAGAAACTAGAACTGACCATCGTATCTGCCCCCTAGACTTCCAGCTCTGATTACAACGGCGTGTTTAGCGCGATGTTGGCCGACAGCTGTAGCAGACCCGCCGAAAGAGCGGCGACCACATCCTTCCCTCCATGGCGGCGCCCGCACACTGGTCACCCATAGTGTTGTCTTGCGAAGATAATCTGTGTCTGCGCGGCAACGTCTCTTCCAGTAACTTCGTACTTGCACGTCATATACACCGACAGCGGCTGACGACTTTGACGCTGTCTCTCTGCGAGCGCCCTCGCGTACGATATTGCGCACGGCAGCACCGCGGGCTGCTACCTTGGCTCTGCCGGTAAAGGTGTGTACAGCGGGTCCGTATATTCCTCCCGCCGCTGGTGCGCTGGTGCGTCGCTTTCGTCATCCCGATGTGGGTTGCCATAAGGGTCGACTGCATGGACGGGAGCCAGGCGACGACAATGGCCAGCTTCGTGCCGGTCGCCGCGACCACAAAACAAAGCTAATAGAATGCTTACTAGCCACGAATTCATGAAAAATTTAGCGGTATATCCCACTGTTCGCGACGATTATATGCTAGACTAGTGGGCAAGTGCGGAGCTATTATGCAAATATTGTCTAGGAATCTGTGCAGCCGACGAAACATCTACTTTTTCTGTCTGGCTTCCTACCCTGAAATATACACGATACACTGTTTACACCATTGGAAGCATGGGAATTGGTTCGTTGGAGGAAATATACATCCTCGCTTAATGACTTCCGTTGCTGGTTTACCCTCAACCCGCCGCCTTCCAGTTACCTCTGCAACAAGCCAGACCCTCAAGGCAAGCTTCAAGATGATATACTTCACGCTTCGTGGAAATGTGCCGAAGACTTTGCAGTCTTGGATCTCATCGTACGAGATGTCGCCATTTGCGCTTTGAGTTTGGAGCTCGAGTGTCTCATGGCCGAATTCGTCCTTATCCCCCTTGCGAATGATGCGAACGGAGCCGTGCGACACAATAGCCTCCTGGAAGTAAGTCCCTGCCTCGGGCATGTGAAGGCGCGATGGATCCGGAAGGTGCAGGTGCAACCAGCCAAGCGCAGAGCCGATCTGACGAGTGATATCCTCTCGCCCGTAGTGCATGAACTCCTGCCACGAAGGCAGCAGCGAGTCATCGTCCGGATGACGCTGTACATGGCGCAAGGCAAGTTGATATCGTGAAACTGAGTTCATGTGCTTGAGAAGCACGGTCCAAGCGAGGTCCGGCGACATCCCTTCGTCGTAGATCGGCAGCGTCATGCAGTTCAGGATGTATGCCAAGCCGTGGACCCTGTCGAGCTCTGTGGTGCAGTGACGCCCCTGCATCGCCGGAACAGCAAAGGCGACGTGGTCGAAGTACAGGTCACGCTCCTCCGGGATGTATCGTGGGAGGTGTTCTCGGAAGAAACGCCGCGTGTCCGCAGACGTCACTCCGGTGGCCCCACCAGGAAGCCAACTGTTGGTGGCCTCTTGCACCGTCCAGATACGATTAAACCAGTGGCGGTCGGAAGACAGGACTTGCGGCGACGGGTCGAAAGGAAGGCCCAGCCCATTGAAATACGTGACGCACGGCCTATTTCGGAACGAGTATACAAAGCCGATCGTCGGGACGTCGAGTTTCCACTCTTCCTTCCTCTGCTCCTCGTCCTCCACACGTCCTCGCTGTCTCAGACACAGGATGTCCAACCAAATATACCTGGCGCCGAGGTTAAGGAGCTCGACTCGAACGTGTTCAAGGGTGGTTCCACTCGGCATGGAGACGGGCCACTCGTAGCCGTTGATCGGAGTCCAAACATCGATGCGAGCGCTTTCCTGTACCCAGCTATGTGATACCGTCCAGACGTGGCTAGAAATCCCGCGCGAGTTGCGATCTCGACCCATGGCATAAATGGGGAGGACGCGGTTACTGTAGAGGTCCCACACCCGCCGTGGGGGCACCCGTGAGTTGCTAATGTAGCCGCCATCTAGGGCATCCCGCCGCGTCGCTTCGTCCTCCCTTTGCTTTTCAGCAATGTATGGGAGTAGCTGGGTGAAGTCGGATTTCCAGTGGCGTCGCAGAAAGCCGTACACTTGGCCGAAGTCTCGCGAGGAATGAAGGAAGTGATCGAGGCACCGCTCCAGGCCCGGCTTGCCTAACGGGTATCTGGTCCCGAAGATGTTGTTGAGTAGTTTTAGCAGTTTTTTAATGCTGATAGCAGTGCAGGGTGTGTCTACGAGAGCGTTCGGTATGGCTCCAGGACCGACGTGGGCCCACTGGAGGGGGACAGAGGAGCGTGGTTTCGGCACAAGCGGAAATGCTTTGCCTGGTCCATCGGATTCGAAGAGGCGATCGAGAGAGACTCCCGATTCTAACATCTTGATCCTCCCCCACACTTCAAGACGCGCTTTATCGATGATACGTGAGCGTATATGCCAGGAGGAGAGGCTTATGCGGTGAATATCTGTAGAGTTTACGAATGGACAAAGAGCAATGGTGCTAAGGTCAGGTTGGGTCGTGTTCCATGGAGCCTGTTCGACACGGATAGCTGTCTCTCCAAGCGTGAATGTCGTCAATACACGCTATATATCAGTGTCTCAGCATAAATTCATATCCGTGTATTCATTTTTGGCTCACCAACCCGGATCGGCCACTATCTGTAGCAGATTCCTTGGGCCCGTTCTCCTCCTTGCTTACCGGATCTGCGTTTCGCTTCGCTGTCACACGTCTAAACAGACCCGCAAAGCTGGACTTGAACAGATTCTGTCCTGCATCCAACGGCTCAGCAATTAAGCTAAATCTCAATACTAGCCGCTTATTGATACCTGTCTGGTCCTCGGGATTCATTTAAATGAAGCTAAGGGGGTTGTAGCGTCGCGGCAAGTGCAAGAGAGGCGAGCAATGTGGTGGAACGAGTAGAGTTGGGTTGTCGGGTGGCTGGCTGATCAGCAGCTGGAAACGACCAGTGCTCCCACCGGGGGAAAACCCCGAAGCTGACGTTGCGCGTAAGGGGGAAATAACGGTGTATCAACTGATCAAAGATATCTGTTCAAGTATCTTGTCCAGCTTCCCGTAATGTTCAACATTAACGACGTTGAACCTTAAGTGATGTTTGAAGCTTCAAGCGCTGTGATCGGATCAGCTAACCCACGTAGGCTGCCCTAGGCCTCCACTGATACACTCCCGCGCCGACGACCACGGCCAAACAGGCTCAGGTGCTTGCACCACAGACTGCCTGGCAAGCATATCAAGTTGAATTTTCTCCATCCGAGTCTGTAATCATCGCGCGTTCACGCCCCGCACGACTTCACGCGTCACGCGTCACCGCCGAGGCCCATGCAGAGCGCATGAACATCGCAAGCATTCAAACCCCGAGTGCGCCGTCAAAGCGGTAACGTGGACATTCCAGCAATGTCTACGACTGAACGAGGTTATGAAAACTGGATTCTGTTGAGATATCGCGCGTACACACACATACAGTCTGGAATACTAAACGAGCCACTGCTTGCTATGGCAATGCCACTGCCCCTTCTAAAGGCAGTCTCTCGACTCGGACGCTTTTTGAACCCGATCTATGCTGTATGAATGCTGATGACATTGTATATAGCACCAAAAGAAGGCCTATACCTCGAACCCGGCAGTGCGAAGCTAGGCAGACGCAACCCTCGAATACACGCATAGGCACTGTCCTGCAGCGTTCTGACAGACCAAGGTCGCACACCGACTTGGCGGCCTGGAACCTTGCAGAGGAAGTCATAGTCCATCAAGAAGTGCAGCCCGGTTACTAGCCATGGATGCGCCTTACACTGCGCGACATATCGAGTGATCAAGGTCTCGCGGCCTTAGAAATTTCTGCAGCTGAGCCTGAAGCCGCCGCCGGTGGAATGCACGAAACGTGAGTTATCTCACATGCAGTCTGGACACGCTACTTGAAATCCTCTGAAAATTTCTGACTCCAGCCTGGGCCAGTCGCTTCACTCAGGCTATGTCCTTCTTCGCTAGTGCTCACGCATCAAAACCATGGTATGCAAACCGATCTTATAAGTTCGATATCCATATTCGAACCTGCACAGTATGATGCGACTCTGCAACTTTCTCATGCGTGTAGGGTCACGTATTCTCTTTGCGGTTGGTACATGCCCATCAAAATGGAATATACTGCGGTAAATAACTAGTACAAAGCCAGCGTCATCTGTGACTGCAGCAGACTGACTTCGACCACATAGTTCGCAGAAACGCTACGCGCTAATAGGCTAATGTATGGCGCAGAACGATCACCTGCTCACGCGCAATACGTCCAAGCTTTATCAGCCACCGCCTCCGCGCAAGCCTATAGGACGCACCGCAGCACCTCGAGCCATTCGAGCGTATCGTAGACATTGGACTCAATGAGTGCTGCGGCGGGCCTCAGAGCGTTGCGCTGCGTATCATCATCCATGTCATGGGAAGGCCAGCAATATTTGGAATAGGTAACATCCTTCGGCTACCGTAATGAGGCTCGAATGTACCACACCCGTTAGTACGTGCCTCTGTGCTCTGTAAGCTCTACTGCCATCAGATCAACTGAGGATGCACAAAGGCAAGTATCACTCGTCGGTAGCACAGCTTCTCATCGCTCTCCTCGCTGCTGGTGGCTCGGAGCCGGAGCTACCGTGTCCTAGCCTGCCACTCGATCAAAGGACAGATCCATTCGATGGTGATCTTCGAGTATGCAGCGCGCTGCACTTGAAGCTGCACGCACGTCTTGCGCGAACCACGGAGGCGGCGCCAAGCGATACAACAGAGCAGGAGAGCCCCAGGACTTCCACGACGGCGCAGGTGTCGGGGAAGAATGCCGCGCAGCGCTGTACGTGGTATGTCTTATTTGAGAAAGCGGCGACGGCGTGACGTGATCGGTTCAACATAGTCACGTGGGGCCTGCGAGCGCGGGCGACATAGCTTGTGACTCGGGACATGCTGCGCCTGTTTCTCAGCTTCAAGCTTCTTCGGTAGAGCAGACCGGCAGGCTGTTGATCTCTTCGACGACGCTCACGAGATAAGTACGCTCATTGATGCTCACAAGCTGCAGGGTGTATCTAAGGATCTATCGACTCGGTATAGAGACTCCAGCAAGCAACCTTTCTCATATCCGCAGAGCCTCGTCGTCTACGTATCTTCTACGTCTTGCACGCTAGCCATGTCTCACGGGAAGCAGTTCACTCTCTTCTCCCACAAGGGTGGTCCAAACGGATGGTATGTTTTTTCTTCTTTGGACTTTAAGTGATACAACACTGGCCACGGTTTCCCACCCATAGGAAGGTCGCCTTTATCCTTGAGGAGCTCGGCCTAATTTACGAGTCCGTTTACTTCGACTTCCGGCAGAAAGAGCAGAAAACTCCAGAGTTTATTAAGTGCAATCCTAACGGCCGTATCCCCGCCGTCATCGACCATGGTAACAGTGACTTTGTGGTCTGGTAGGTCTCCTTAATTCAGCTACGCGTTCCACCAGACTAACACGTACACAACAGGGAGTCTAACGCAATCATTCAGTACATCGTTGACAAGTACGACAAGAAGCACAAGCTGTCGATCGCGCCTGGTACAGACGAGTATTACACCCAGCTCCAGTGGCTCTACTTCCAGGCTTCCGGCCAGGGTCCGTACTTTGGCCAGGTCGGCTGGTTCAATTTATACCACCCTGAGAAAGTCCCGAGCGCGGTGGAACGATATCAGAATGAGATCAAGCGTGTGCTTGGCGTGCTCGAGAGCGTGCTGTCGAAGCAAGAGTGGCTCGTCGGCGGCAGGCCGACCGTCGCGGATATCTCTTTCCTCTCGCAAGTGCACGCCGCTCGCTGAAGAGATGCAGTATAGCTCACATTCCCCGCATCCTGTAGATGGAATATCTACGCTGCAAAGCGCCTCCTCGAGAATTTTGACTTTGAGAAGGAATTCCCCGCCACCGCCGAGTGGCACAAGAAGCTCCTCGAGCGCCCGGCCATCAAGAAGGTCTGGGAGGAGCGCGAGAGGCTAGTTGCGGAGGACCGTGAAAAACTACTCGCGGAAGAGCGTGGGAAGCTACTCGCTCAACAGTAAACCGGGTGTTGGATCATGTGAGTTGTGCTCGGAGACTGTAGCAAAGTGGTTTATTTGATAAAATCAGCATTCCATATCTTTGTAGACGATATTCAATGTATGTATACAAATACGCCCATGTTTGCATGCCACGCGGCACCGGTTTCGTCGAGCATGAGGGTGGCGGAGGCAAACATACTCGCCATGGGCCCGGGCCGGCTCTTAGTACTCCACCGCCGCCGCCCTTCCTTCACGGGTGTCCCCGCGTATGACATCACACCCGGCGACACCGCAGGTTGTAAGTCGGGCACTGCTGGTAGAGCATCATGTGAGACGGATCTGCGGCACGTAAATAAATTGCCATTTGAGGCATCTGTATCGTCTGCGAAATATGTACTCCCTCTGTCGAGTCCAGCAGTTCGAATCTCCAGGTTTCTTATCTAGTAAGCTTCATACCTTATTCGAGCTTCATGGCTAAAGCTGTCTCTGTGTGGGCACGGGCTATGCAGCTTTTCCCATGGCCAGTCTGAGCTCATCGGGTATGCAGGCAGAGTGCGTGCCGGTGAGCAACTTGTCCAGAGTCAGTTTTATCTGTCACTGTGGCATGCCTAGTTCGCACATGCAGTTCGCAGAACGGTCCCGCTCGAATGAGCTAGCGTTCGCGACGGCGGCCATAAGACGAACGTTGGCATCTTTTGCCTGGTACTACAACATGTCCTAGTATAGGCTAGCGAGTAAAAAAAAGTACAGGCAAAGCAAAGAACGGCATAAGAAATTATTAAACACGCTGCGTCCAATGCAAAGGGGGCGGCGGTGTGTTTCAACTCGACAACACGGATTGGAAGCACGGTAGATGTGGCGAGAGGCGGCGAGAGAGCATTGTGGTACGATCGGGTGAGGAGCTTCATGGCGCGCCAGTTGCGGTGACGTTGGGTGCCTGGTGCAAGCGGTCGCGCGAAAAGGTGCGTATGCGGGAGTGCGCGCGCAGGGCACGACGGGGCGCGTTATCAGACGCAGAAGTATTGCCCGAACGTTGTCCAAAGAGCGTGACTGGTCTGCGAAACACTACTTTCCGCCGTCGGTCCTCCCCCTCTGAGATATACACGACACATCGTGTACTCCATTGAAGGCGTGGAGTTTTGTCCGATGGAAAAAATATGCATCCTCGCTTAATCACCTCCAGCTCCAGCTTACCCTCAACCTGCTGCTCCCCATTCACCTCCGCGACAACCCAGACGTCCGAGGCGAGTTTCAGGATGACGTGCTTCACGTCTCGCGAAAATGTACCGCGGATCTTGCATTTTCGGATTTCATAGCAAGAGAGATCGCCGCTTGCGCCTGCAGCTTGGAGCTTGAGTTTCTCATAGCCGGACTCGTCTTCTTTCCCTTCGCGATTGATAACAACGGGGCCAAACAAGTAAATAGCCTTATGAAAATAGGCCCCTGTCTCAAGCATGTGCACGCGAGACGGGTCCAGAAGGCGCAGGTCCGAGTAGCTCCATAGGTAATCTGAGGGATGAACAGTATCCTTCCTCCCGCATCGCATAAAGTCCCGCCACGAAGGGAGTAATGAGGTATCGTCTGGGTAACGCTTTGCGTGGCGCAAGGCGACCCGCCATCGTGAAAATGGGCTCATATGCTTGAGAAGCGCGATCCAAGCGAGCGTCGGTGATATCCCTTCGTCATAAATCGGCAGCGTCTCGCAATCCAGGATGTACGCGAGGCCGTGGACCCTATCGAGCTCTGTGGTGCTGTGACGCCCCCGCATCGCCTGAACCGCGAAGGCCATGTGGTCTAGAAACAGCAGACCCTTGCGTGGAATGGATCGTGGGAGGTGCTCTCGGAAGAAACGCCGCGTGTCCTCAGAGGTCGCTCCGGTGGCTCCACCAGGTAACCAATTGTCGGTAGCTTCTTGCACCGTCCAGACGCGTTTGCACCAGTGGCGAGTGGAAGCTAGTGCTCGCGGGGACGGGTCGAAAGGAAGGCCCAGCCCATTAAAATACGTGACGCACGGCCTGTACTGAAATGAGTACACATAGCCAATGGTGGGAACGTCGAGCTTCCACTCCTCCTTCCTCAGCTCCTCGTTCTCCGGACATCCCCGTTGTCTTAAGCACAGGACGTCCAACCAAACATACTCGGCGCCGAGGTTGAGGAGCTCGACCCGAACGTGATTAAGACTGGCGTCTTTGTGTTTAGGAATGGAGACGGGCCACTCGTAGCCGTTGATAGGGGTCCAGACATCAGTGCGAGCGCTTTCGCGTACCCAGCTGTGCGATATCGTCCAAAGGGTGTGGGAGGCCTCATCTAGATCAATGGCATAGTAGGGGAAGACACGATTACTGTAGAGGTCCCACACACGCCGTGGAGGCACCTGCGAGTTGCTGATATGGTCGCCATCCAAGGCGTTTCGCCGCGTCGCTTCGTCCTCCGTTCGTTTTTCAGCAAGGTCGGAGAGCAGCCGAGTGAAGTTGGATCGCCAGTGGCATCGTAGGGAGCCATAAACTTGGCCGAAGTCTTGCGAATTGCGGAGGAAGTGGTCGAGGCACCGTTCCAGCCCTGGCTTAGTTAGCAGGTGGCTGGTCCCGAGGATATCGTTGAGTAGATCCAGCGCCTCTGGGATGTTCAGTGCAGTGCAGGGGGTGTTTGCGAGGATGTTCGGTATGGCGCCGGGGCCGAAGTGGACCCACTGGAAGGGGATAGACGAGCGTGGTTCCGGCACAAGCGAGAATGCTTTGCCTTGTCCATTGGATGTGAAGAGACGGTCGAGAGGAACTCCCAACTCTGACATCTTGATCCTTCCCCACACTTCGCGACGCGCTTTCATGGCGCTATATGGCTGGCGGCGAGAGTTGTCTGTGAGGTGGACACCCATGCAGTTGACGAATGAAGAAAGGTCGGCAGTATTAGATTCAGGGGTCGGAGCTGTGTACCATGGACCATCTTCGACACGGATGGATGTCTCTCCAAGTGTGAACGTCGTCAATACACGCTGGTCATATTAGCGTCTCAGTATCAATCTAAATCCCTGAACATATAATATCTGTCCCTGACTCACCGGCTCAAACCGATTGCTACCTGTAGATCTCGCGGAGCTGCTTCCCTCTCTACAGACTAAATCCGCGTTCCGCCTCGCTGTCGCATGTTCAAATGATAGGCCCACAGACCTGAGCGGACTCCGTCCTGCGTACAATAACTCAGCAATCAAATAAAAGTAGCAATACTAGTCGCTTACCGGTACCCGTCTGGTCTTTGCAGCTCATTCTGGATAGAGCTCAGGTGCTTGTAGCGTCGCAGCGTATGCGAGGGAGGCGAGCAGTGTGGTCACTGGTGGAGCAAAGCAAGTCAAGTGGCTGCTATCAGGCGGTGACAACGTAAGACAACAGAGAGCGGACAGCATCTGACACTCGATTTAGCGGCGGTCCCCGAGCACAGGTTGCATAGCACCGAGTTGGAATAGCTGGTAAGCTCGATATATGCAGTGTCGGCCTGCATAGAACATTTGAGCAATGCTCCTCAACAGATTAAGCTCAAGAACCAATGCTGGTAGATGAAATCAAGCCATATCCTGCGGGGTATTGTGAATTTGTGACCGTACGCGTCGAATCCTGACAAACATGGCATGGCCGTGCGGTCCGCCAGGTCCGAACTGACTGGCGCCTACTGATTAGCCTGCTTCTTCTCAGTTCTGCATAGATAGACCGTGGTTTATTCAAAAAAAATCCTCTAAATAAAAGACAGTTGATACTCACACTTTCAAAATGGAGCTTTTGTGCCACCGTAATCTAGACAGGTCAAGCCACCGCTAAAGCCAAAGATTTTATCCAATTTCCGGCCTGATGACCGGAAATGGCCAGAAATGATCTTCCCGATAAGATAGGCAGGCATCTACTGCGAACGTATTGATAGTACTAGTATTCATTGCGTGTATTGGAAGACAAAATACAGAGTTGCGCGAATACCCTAGTATTCAAGATAGGATATGTCTGCCCTCAGCTTCCTTCGATACTGATCTCTCGTAAATCTAGCACGACCGTGATATTCGATGCCCAGATGCCGGAATGTCAAAGACGACGTTGCATAACCGGAACCCAAGCTTGTCGTAGGCTGTGCCATCGTCATCAGTAGAGTACCTCAAAAAAGGACGTCCTGAGAACTCACCTCTGCAGTCGCCCCATGTCTGATCTGCTGTCCATTCGATCATTAGCTCAACAAATTGGTGATTTGCTGCGCCATTCGTCGTGCGCATATCTTGTCGTACCATGTAGAAACAACTGCCAGCTCAAGCGCGACGCGTCCAAGTCTCGCAAGCCGCCGTCTGCGTGCGGCGATCTATGGGACACACCACAGTATCGCCATGCCTGTCACGCGCAGCACCTCGGGCCGCTCGAGTATGTTACCAAACACCGGTCCTTAAAGTTCTTTAACGGGCTCCGAAGCGTTGCGTTGCGTATCATTGCCCGAGTTCCGGATGAGCCCCTCGATGTTCGGCACGAATACTATTTGCGGGCTTCATTGCTATCAGACCAACTGAAGGCGCACAAAACCTGGCGCAACTCACTAGTAACATGTCATATAACTGCTCCCTGTAGTCGCCTGGGCTCTCGAGCCGCTGTGGTCATGTCCAGCCACTCGAGCAAAGGGTAGAGCCGTTGGACAATGGCCGCTGGGAACGCAGCGCGCTGCTGTTGGTGCTGTACTCATGTATTACGCGAACCGCCACCGTAGATCCGGACTGCATATGAGGGCGGGAGAGCGTACTTCTACGATAGTGACCATGTCGGATGAATCAGGAGCGCGACGTGCTGTACTTGAAGAGAGGCTCTCCCACTATCAACTTCCGCAAGTCTCTTCACCCATATCCTGACTATCCAGTCTTGAAAGCTCGCTAGTGAAATGGAATGTGCCATCGGTATTGACTGTTTTGTCTCGACTTCAGCGCACTTCTTAGCTTTCTACGCTAATCAGTGGACGTGTCTGTGGCATACGAGCGACACTCACTGAGTCATGTTAGTCTGGCCACTAGCACAGGCATACCAAACCCAGATCTCAATGCCCTCAGCTCCTGCTACTCCAGCGATATACAAAGCCGTACAATCATCTCCTCGAGAGATATGGCCTACTGCACAAGAACTGCATCGTAGCAGGCGGCGCAGTCTGATAGCGCGAGCAAAGATAGAGAGATAGATCACCGCAGGTCTGGAGACTAACACGCACAAGGGCGAAAGGCAGTCAGTTGGGACGTGTGGCGACGCGGGTGGTATGTCGATATAGAGCAGGGTGCGGGACGTCTGATAGGGACGGTCAGGGACGGGCTCGGGGCCGCCGGTAATCTTGATTACGATTTCGCGGGACCCAGACGGTTCAGCTGACGAGGATCAGATTCGTGGCATCGTCCGGCGGGCAAGTTGAAGAGAGGTGCGTCGAAGGGGACTTGGGGCTTAGGGTCCAGTCTTGCATGGGCGATCCGGCAGGCGGTAGAGGGGTAAGCAGGAATATTATTGGAGAATTATATTAGCAGTGATGTATGTATTCGACACGCTGCTCTCATTGCCACATTGAATTGGAGAGAGAGGTGCCAAGGAGGGCGAAGCTTGAGGTTGTGCAAGAAAGCGCCTAACACCTGGGACTTTGTGGACGCCCGCTCGGATCAGTTAAGCCACGTGGGGTGCCCTGTGCCCATACGCTTCCGCGCCGACGACAACAGCCAAACGTGGATTGCCTTGCAGGTACGTTCTTAGGTCTCTTTCAGCTATATCGCATATCTTTACCTCGTATAACTTCAGACCTCACCAGCACTGACACTCCTGCATGAAGATATAGATATAAAGTTTACATAACATTGAACAATGCCACAATTATCGCCTCGGGCGTGCTCGTAGGCTTTGAAAGTGGTGTCATGGACTTCAAGCCCAGTGAAAACCCCGTCCGCCCGAAGCGACCGAGGACTATCTCAGCCTATCGAAAATTCACTGATCTACCCCCAGCGACCTCAGAGAAATCAGCAGACACCGGAGAAGCTCTGATGTCCACGTGTCAGCAACTAACAATCCAACTGGACTGAGCTACGACAAAGCTGAGGAGACAGGCGAGAGGAATGTGAGTGAGGAAACACCAGCTCGAGTCTGGCTTGTTATTGAGCAGTACGAGCTCCTTATATACATGTCAGACTGAATATCTAGAGTATCCTACGAATATACGGAGGTGTACAGAAAGCGAAAGAATACTATGGAATCCGGGAGAACCATCTGAATGCGTAATACTCATGACATTACCCCTCCGTCTAGAATCGTGTCCTCACGATTATTTACCAGTCGACCCAAAGCCTCCAGATCCTCGTTGGGTCTCTGTTAAACTTGACACCTCCTCGATATCGCATGATGCAATGCGTTCCAAAATGACTTGTGCGATTCGATCACCGGCGCGTACCTGAAAGGGTTGATTGGTGGAATTAATCAACACCACGCGCACTTCTCCAGTGTAATCCCAATCTACGACTCCAGCACCGACATCTATTCCTTTGACTGCTAATCCGCTTCGTGGCGCAATTTGCGCATAGGTTCCGTGAGGGGCACGCATCGCTATGCCGGTGCCGACAATCTTGCGATCTCGTGCTGGTACCTTAACGCTTTCAGCCGAATAAAGATCAAGCCTGGCAGATTCTTCAGATCCTTGCTTCGGGAGAATCCCACCCATCCGTTGTACCAGAAAAGTGGTATCACGCGTGAGCATGTGAATGGGTCGTGTTAATAGCGGGGGGATTTGAATCGTCATAGGCGCGGGTTTGTCAGGACGTCTAGCATGGAATTCTTGAAGAAGTTCCTGACAATTAGTCAAGTTCGCTCGTGATTCCCAGGAACGGCGATCACCGTGGGGGCTGTTCTTCCAGAGCACCTGATACTCCAAGTTTCCGTTTCGATCACGACGGGAATCAAGAATTTCTTTGACTTCCCATTCTTCCTCGCCATTTACGAGGTCAGGGACTACCGGTTTGCGTCGCTGTGAGGGATACGTGGGTTCTTTGAAGGGACTAAGAAGGCTTTCATTGAAAACAGGGTGTTGTTTCCATTGACGTGGGAGTTCCAGTTCATAGGCGGAAGCGCCGACTTTGCGTTTGACCTTGAAGGGTCCATATCGCTTATCGTCGAGCTTTTTCATTGGCCTGTCTGTTCGGATGTTTATCCCTTCTAGCCAGACCTTATCCCCAACTTTGTACTCCAGCCTGCTCTTTCTCTTTCTGTCGTAGAAGCGCTTTATGGATTCCTGCGCTAGACTGATAGCCGCGCTAGTGTCCTCACATACTCGCTCCATTCTATTGACAAATTGTTGGACGTTTTCGCTTAGTCCTTCTCGCACCGGTTGGGTTCCTTCATAAGGGTGGTACCCTTTATTGACGAAGAATGGAGTATATCCGGTGGATGAATGGACTTTATTGTTGTACGAAAAGGCTGCGAGTGGCAACCATTCGGCCCAATCTGCTTGTCAGTAGTTAATGAACAATCAGAGATATTGTTCTATTTCACGATTGATACATTCTGTTTGTCCATCCATCTGAGGGTGATACGCGGTGGAGGGATTGGCTTCGATTCCAAGCGATCGGTATAGTTCGGAGATGAACTTGTTCTTGAATTCAGTGCCCCTATCACTGATGATCTTTCGGGGTAGTCCGTGATGTGCCACCACATGGTCGCGAAGTGCTTTTCCCCATCCTTCGGCATTGAGTTCAATGTTACTGGGTATCGTGATTATCTGCTTGGAGTACATGCAGACGACTACGAGAATAGCGTTGTACCCAAAGGACTCAGGTAATACTCCTATCTTATCTACAGAGATTATTTCCCAGGGTCACGTAGGGATTTCGTTGGGGAAGAGAAGTCCGGTAGGTCATGTTGTGTGAACCTTGGTCTTCTGGCATTTTTCACATCCAGCAACGTACTTTCGGATGTCTTCTCAAATTCTAGGCCACCAGTAGTTACGCGTGACCATTTCGTGTGTTTTGTATTGACCAGGGT